CCACTAAATTTAGATGTTGAGGATTATGCTAATTGTTGGACAAGGCCGCATTGTTTAGGAGTTCATCAATTGCAATTTCTGGCCGATCACCAATCTTAGAAAGTCCGACCTGCCAATACTGCTTTTATTTTATTTATTTTTTGTATGAAAAGTTGCCAAATAGAAGTATCGTTATACCATTTTAAGCAGACAGTAAGAATTTCTATGAAATCTGGTCTTGTTGCTCTCCTTCGCACAGGAATTGACTTCAGCAGAGATGGATGCTATATGGCTTTAGCTGAGCGCCGTGATTGCAAAGACTATGTTAGTATATTTGTATGTGACGACTGGCATTTACTCAGGGTAAGTAGGACACTGCTTAGCTTTTTTAAATTCTATTATTAAATATATATTTTTATAAATATTTATGCCATCTTTTGCATAATCAACTTTGTTCATTTGTATTTTGTCAGAATGTCTTGTTTTGTGTTCATTATTTTCAAATTTTGTTTGTATTATATATTTAATTTTTTTGATCGCAGCATTTTGAGACTGAAACTCAGGACCTTACAGGATTGGAATGGTCTCCCAATGGATGTGTGCTAGCGGTGTGGGACAGCTGTCTAGAGGTCTGCTCCTTTAAGATCCCAACAACTGAACACACTGTTGATTTGATCTTATGCCTGTGTGTTAACTTACATACTTTATTTATTTATCATCTTAAATTCTGCCCATTTTGAGCACTTTTGTATAAATCAGACAAATTAAACATTGTTTTATTTGTTTATATACTTTCTGTAAATGACTAAATTATCTGTTTTTTATTTTAAAAATATTTATTAAAGACCTTCTAAAAATAAACTGCTGTTACTATTAGACATTGTGATGAAGAAAGCATCTTATTGAAATTTGTTAGAAATCCAGCGAATTGTAGATTTCTTTTGTAATGGCTTTAAACATTGCTCTTATTTTAAAACTTGAGGAAAATCTAAATACACCTACTTCACTCTTGTCAAGTCTTGAAGCTGCATAAAAATGCCAAGCACTGGTGGCAATACCTTAGTTTATTAATTGTTTCTTCTCCACAGTATAAGATTTTGCTGTATTCCTTGGATGGCCGGTTGCTGTCGACCTACAGTGCCTATGAGTGGTCCCTCGGGGTGAAGTCTGTGTCCTGGAGCCCCAGCAGCCAGTTCCTGGCTATAGGCAGTTATGATGAGAAAGTACAGTTTGTTAGAAAGTGTCAAAATTTTATTTGCACCAAAGGTCATTATTTGTAGATTTCTTACTACGTTTCTTATATTTGTCAGGTGCGCATCCTCAATCATATTACATGGAAGAAAATCGTACAGTTCGAGCATCCTGCAACCATTGACCACACCAAAGCTGTGAGTATTGGTGATGAAATTAAAATACTTTGTACTTTATTTTTGCAATCAAGCTTATTTGCTACATCTTGTCTCCTCAGATTGTGTATAAGGAAGTGGAAAGAAAACCAGCCGTGGTCAGTGATGAGCTGTCGCTACACAACATCACAATGAGCCCCACGCTTTTCAGCACCCAGAGCAAGTGTATGTCAGCAATACTCATTTATAGTGAAAACCATATTTGATCAAATAAAATATATCCCGGTTGAAGTATCCTTGTTTGTGTACAAAATCTGAGTTGTTTTTCCTCATCCAGATGAGATCTGCCCCCTGCCTGTCCAAATTCCTGTGGTCAAGCCAGAGCCAGACAGAGCTAATCCCAAAATAGGTGTGTCTGTTCTGGCATTCAGCTCAGACAGTCGCTATCTTGCCACCAAAAATGGTAAGTATCGATGGCTGTTTTTTCTTTCTTATTTTTTTTAAACTTAATGGTGACCCCAGTAAACTGTGTGAAATGTGTTTATGGCTTCTAAATTATTCAGTAATATATCCTTTCATACTCAACTGTTTTTCACCCTCCTGGTATTTTAACGCCATTATAAACAGAGTCGCTGTGAAAGTTTATGAGCATTTCTGTCTCTGTAGACAACATGGCCACTGCCGTTTGGGTGTGGGACATGCAGAAGATGAGCCTGGAGGCTGTGCTGGAGCACACATCAGCGGTACGCTGCGTTATGTGGGACCCCCGTCGCCCCCGACTGGCCCTGTGTACCGGCACCAACAAACTTTATCTTTGGTCTCCAGGAGGCTGCGTTTCTGTTCAGGTTCCTGCTGAAGGTATCACACTTACTATTTAAAATGTCACTTTATTGGTTAAAATGTCCATTTTTTCGGGTTAGCTATTAGCTTGGGCTACGTGTAGAATAAGACGTCCTCTATAAACTTTGCAAATACTATTATTTTCAGTGCTTACTGAAATAATAGTAAACACTATTGATAAAAGCTTTTCTCTTTTGCTTGTACATGTTTAGTGATCGGTTATTCCTTTATTTTTTTGTATTTCAGGAAGTTTTCAAGTCCAGTCGCTGTTCTGGCACTGCAGTGGCGACTCTGTGATCCTGCTTGGGAAAGACCAGCTGTGTTTGTGCTATATGGACACTGACCACGAAGAAAAGTAAAAGTCACAACATTTACTCCAGAGTTAGCTAAGGTCTAATTATGTACTTGAAGATCAGTGGAAGCACTCCTGGATATATGTAATGCTGGATTATAGCTGATTAAAAGCCAAAAAATGTTAAAAACCTGACGACATTGCCACTCCTTCAGAAAAAAAAAACAAAAAAAAAACTTTTTAAATTAAAGATACTAGTTGAAAAATTAATGCTAGTTTTTCAGCACTAAGCCTTAGTCTTAAACTATTTGTGTACATGTTTCGTTGAATGTTTGCACTTATTCCAAATACACTTTTTGAAATAAATACTTTGCAGTTTCTTACTTTGATGGATCTACTTTGTAAACTGTAATTTTCAATTATCTTCACATAATAGAACATTGGAAATTACTGTCACATAAATAACAAGTTAATCATAGTAGTTTTAAGATCCAAAATGAAATTAATATTATATCTTTTTGTAAAGTTCAGGTTTTTTTTGGTTTTTTATAAGCATGAAGTCATATGACTTGCACCATAAACAACCTAGCTATTAGCACTGACAGAAAAAATCTAAATGGTTATGTGTGCAACTAGGAATGTCCATCCTGTGCGGCTCAACAGGCTGGGGTCATGAACTATGTTGCACTAGCTCTGAAAAGGGAAGAAAGCAATACACTTCTTCTGCAACCACCAATAAGGAACCAGATAAACTGTCATTACAAAAACAGGAACGTCTTTATTACTTTTTTTCCATCTTGGCTGCTGAGCTGCAAACACAGATCAAAAACAAAGCCTCAAAACATTTTTAACAAGACATTTCTTTTTTAAAATAAAATACTTTTCAATTGGCTTTCATGAGACATTTTGTATTAGCATTCATACATTAATTTTAAAAATGCAGATTAAACATTTATTTACAACTAAGCATAGGTTATTGTGCAGCAAACAAAACAAATCGGTCATGCAAACTTGCCGTGCAAGGACCATGCGCAAGGACAGAAAATTGTGCTGCGAGACAAATGTTTAGGTTTGCTTGTTTTCAATTTTTGGTTGGACAGGTATTGGCCTAGATAAAAAAAAAACAAACAAACAAGGAGGAGGAATTGACTACTCACTCTTCTCTTCTCAGGCATCTTAAAAATTGTCATTAAGGATGAAGTCTGGATTTGTGTAGGTCAATGTTGGTATGAAAATGTTAGTTCATTGTTCTTGAAACATATTTTCACCATCTAAGGCTTGGTGAATCGATTGAGGTGAAAACCTATTCATTCTGGACGTTTTGGTAGGCAACTGATGGTTTTGGCACAAACCATTGGTAAATCTGGACCTGACAAACTGAACCAATTTTAAATCTATCCTTCACTAGGACACAGACATGATGTGTGTTTTTTACTGATCATTTTTAACTTCCTTGAGATTTTTCTATTGCCCCACAACAAATGTAATTGAGTTTGCGTCACTGATACCTGGTCTTCTTAAGGATACACGCCCATTTAGTTCCAAGTATTCTATGGATCATGTCTGAAGAAATGCTGCTACTCTCACTTTGTCGTGGATTGACGTTACTTTGCTGAATCTTTTGATCATCTGAATGGGTCCTATGCAGGCTTAAAAAGGTTTTGAATTTATTTTCAGTAATTTACAGGTCTGGGTAGCTGTAGAAATAAAATAATTTCAAAAAAAAGGTATGGATCTCCCACGCTATCCTGTTTGACCTTTTGAAAATGTAAAAGCATTAAATTATGTTAAAATACAACCCAGGATTTGTTATTGAGCCACTTCAAGGCATTTTTCAACTTGCCTTCATCAAAAATGGCCAAGCTTTAGTAAGCTGTTGCTCAAAGTTCTTCAGGAGGAAACGTGTTTCACTGGAAGCAAAATATAAAGGAACAAGATCAAAACTCCTACATTGAACACCGGTAACAAATCCTTGCTCCTCATTCAAGAAAATTAAACATAATTAAACAACATGCAACTTTCACTGTGCGTGTGTTGTTGATGTAGAGAAGCACTTTGTTTGTTAGTCTCTCATTGTGTTCATCATATGACATAATTGGTAAATTCCCTTTTGGAATAATACAGCCATTGAGTTCAGTACCACACAATGCACCAAGTCTAATACAATTGTTTTAACTAACATTGCTTCATGATTTGTTGCTGCAGATAAAAACTCAAACAAAACCAATTCCTTTTTAACCCATTTAAGATCAGAAATGACCCCTAAGTTTCAGAAACTTATTAAATCTACAAGGAGTGTAGGGGTTTTGCAAGTTATCTTGCTGAAAGCGCACACTGCAGAGTGGGGAGTGTGCAGTTCATCTGCAGATTTTTAATGGAAAGCAGTGAATAAAATGAAACGGCAGTCATTAAAGCTCCCACTGTCTTTCACCTGCAGCTGACCACATGTCTCCAACACCAAATTAAGGAAGTGTGCACATGTCATAGGCTCGACTGAGACACACACACACACACACACACACACACACCACACACACCACACACACACACACACACACACACACACACACACACACACAGGCAAGCTGTATTGAACTGCAGCTTCTGTCAGATAGTGCAGTTCAACAAAGACAGACGGGGACAATCCCATGAGAAACTCAGAAGCCGATTTTGCCACGCGTCATGGAGTAGCCCAGCTTCGCTTCGTTGTTGATGAAAGACATGATGCCCAGATAGGTCTCGATCAGCAGGGGTCTTTCCAAGATCAGGACGCCGTTAGCCCGGCCGGGGATGGGTTGCTCCTTGTGGGCTTTCTTCACTGCCTGTATCAGCTGGGCTTTGAAACTGTCCAGCTGGGGAAGAGAAGAAGTGCATGAAAAGGGCTCAAACTTGTTTGTTACTGTTTATATCCTTATCAAAACTCAGACAAAGAGTGGATAATAAATAGTACTTAAGCTTTATAGCCAAATGAGCTTCATTTGTTGCATATAAGAATATGGATGTAGAAAAGTCCAAACAAGTGCTGCTGCCTTGTCAGTAAGAAGGAAAAGAAGCAGCTTTGAGCTGAACTATTTATGCAGATTGAGCTGGTATGAATGAATGGCCCTTTGTTTTGGAGAATTATAAATACCACTAGGGCTGTGTTGTTTTCTAGGGCTTTGTTGTTTTCTAGGGCTCTGTTGTTTTCTAGGGCTTTGTTGTGCCTGCTGGAGCTGTTGTTGCTCAACGTCCCTCCAACAACAGCTAAATCACCGGTGACCACACTGTGTGTTATATTGCATTTCAGGATGCCGTGCTCATCAAAGAGGAACTGAGGATGCACTTATTATGAAATTATTTGTTGGCCAGCTTAGTGAAGCGGATTCTACCTGGCAGACGGAGGCCACCTTCTCATCGGCGCGGGCCATGGGGTGCTCTGTGAAGGTGGCGTAGGGCATGTCTGTGGACCACGGGTTCCAGCGGTTGAGAAAAGAAGCCCGAGGACGTTTGTCCCACTGAACGCGAATCCCATAGCCTTCTCTTCTGCAAAACAGGTCAGGAATAGGCCTGTCAGAATCGGCAACACATCAATTAATCACATGAGAAATCAAAGTGAACTCATTTGTCTCTTTTCTCTTTCTATCAAACCTGGTCTCTTCAGTCTGGTGCATTGGTCTCAACCAGCCCTTTTTTTTTTTGGAAGACAATGTTGTTCACAGAAACTTCATAACTATTGTTTTTGTTGTTTATTTCTTTTGAATGTTTAAAATTTCTTCCAGTTCCAAAGTAAATTGTTCATCAGAATTTAAAGTTTATTGATATTTGAAAATGTGCTCTTGCATTATTATGCCATTGTCATGACTATACTTTCAAATGGTCTCAAAACAACAATATAATAATTTATCTCAATAACTTCGGAGGCAATTTATCATCCAACAAAATTTGTTATTGTGACAGACCAAGTCAGGAACAATGTAACTTTTTAAGGAAATTACGTTTTTGAATTATTTATTTTACTAAACACTGCAGCATCTTTAAGTAGCTTTCATCTGTTTTTCCCTTGCACTTAATGTCTGACAGATAAACTAGAGAGACATAAGCAGAAATTATGAGAAACATTATCAACACTGTTTGTGATGTCAGATCTCATATTTTTACTTAGAAAACATTCATAACACAGATGTTAGTTACTAGAAGGCAACAATGACATATGGACAATTTAAGGCTCAGACCTGGAAATAACACCTGTACTCTTTGGCTTGATTGCACCTGGATGGCGCTAAATTTATGTGTGGACGAGGATTGAGAACAGACTTGCATTAGTTCAGTAGTCCAAACGCAAACCGTATCAGACATTCTAGACATTTCTCTGTGATAAAATTTTGATAAGCAGCCTCGTATTTTCAGCCACTTTTAATTTAAGGTAGTAGATGATTAATATTCTCTATAATCTTGTCAGATCACAAGGCCATTTCCTGCAGTCAATAGAGGAGATCGGAGGAATTCACCCTTCTTCTGTTCTCAAAGTAAATCACACAGCAGTATGGACAACAACGTGAATAGTGAATGAATCTTATTAAAACGTTTGCATCAGCCAGTTTATGTTTGTTAGATTACCAACTGGAGTTACTGCCTCCTATTCGGTTTATTCTTTCAATCCACAATCTACTTGTGTTGCTTATGCCTTGTGAAATAGTGGGTGGTCAAAGTTCACCCTTCAGCTTCATGCCACCGATACAGGTCAGGAGGTTATCACAAACTCCTCATGACTATTTGACCTGCTACGCATGTACAGCGAGTCAAGTAGGCTACATCTAATCAGGTTGGATGACGTTCATGCCTAAAGTCGTCCAAACCAACCGAGACAGAAGTGAGAACCTGATCTGAACCCGTCCAACACGAACATCCCAGAGTGTTTCTCTCCTTTCTTTCCTACAACATCCTGACTGGTCAGAATTCATCAAGGAGAAATGTTGCTTCCAGACGAGGGAAATATTGTTGCACTTTTTTGATCGACTGGTCTGATGCCTGTTTACTTGAAGCAAATAATACTGTCATGCCGCAAAAAAACAAAAAAAAAAACGACCCACTTGTTGAGAGATTTCGGTGGGAATTCAAACTCCCCCACAGAGATGGTGTCCACAGCGTTGAGGGATATCCTGACAACTTGCTGACACAGCAGATTAATGAAGTCGTATTTGCACACCAGCAGAGACCTGCACACACACACATAAAAAAAACAACAACAAAAAAACACATTTTCTGTTTACACATCCTAAACCCACACAGTCAGCTCAGAAAGCTGATTTACTCACCTATCGGTTATTAGAACAAGTCTCTCCTTCTCGTTGTTCCAATGGTCTACTCTGCAGAAATCCCACAAATAAACACCAGAATATGAGAATTTATGTTGGGGAAAACCGGCTGTTTGTTTCTCATCAGCTGATGATGATGATGATGATGATGATGATGATGGCAGGCCCGGGCTGATGGATACTCACTCTGCCAGCAGCCAGACGCTCAGCACCTCCCCGTCCTCGGATGGGAGCGCCACGGTCCGGATGTCGTTCACGGCCTGCTCGATGGTACCTGGCTGAGATCAGCATCACGCAACATCAGCATCACCTCAGACCAACCAGCATCTCTGCGACCCAGTCCTACTGCACTGCCGCAGAAATACTGACACACTGATAAAATGTTGTAATTCACGTTTATATGCCGCCTACCCTGAACACGAAGTAGTCCTTGACTTTCGCTTGCATCGTGGGGTTGTGCACGTGAAAAGGCGTGAGCGTTTGTAACGGGGGGCAGCAGGCCACGGAAGCTGCGTGTCCGAAGCCCCGTCCGGCGGCCTCCGGAGGCGTGAAGGCGACCTCGACCCCGTCCTCGGTCTCCGCGGGGAGGAGAACCGCGGCGCCGGGGCTCTCCGGACCCACCGCGTCGTTCAGCTGGAGCATGGCGGAGGAGACGAGTTCTCAACTAGTAACAACTAGCGCCCAGTTTCACGTGAGAAAATGGATTTCCGAGGACGCGGACTCTCCCATAGCGCGCGCGGATGTTTTGATAGTCGGGGGTGAGAAGGAAGCAGTTCCGGCTGGCTTCCCGTTTCATTTCCTTCCTCTTAAAGGGACATTCATCCAGCTCACTGTGTGGGATAAACGACTTTTCACAAACATTATGTGCATTCCACGTATGCCATCATCATCGTTCACGTTCAGTAGGTTCAGTGTTAAAGCAAATGTATTCACCATTATTTAAGATAAATTTCAGGTTCCATTCTAAAGAATAACATGTGAACATCACTAAAAGAAACTGTCACAAAGTACATCTATGGTTATTGATGTACATGTTTCCTTGTATAATACCGATTTGTTTTATAACTATCAGTGTCTTATTGATAAAAAGATATTTGAATAGACTATGTCGAAAATTATTAGTACAGCTGGGAGAGACGTTATGTAAAAAACATTCAACACTTTGTGTTAGATTTATATCAATGAAAAAAAATAGTTGTTGTTCTTAGCAAACAAAAACAACCTTAACATTATCAACGTGCAATAATTAAAAGAAGCCATCTTTTAAATGAGCTAATGCAGGATAAAAATAATCACATCAGCAGGACATAAGGTCATGACAAAAAGCGCCCTCTAGTGGACGTTTTTGATAACTGCTACTGCTTTGTGTACTTCATGTGTTGTTTTTTGAGGAAGGACTCAAAGAAAATACTTGGTTATCAGCAGTTTATCACATGTCAGATACTGCTATCTGGTAAGTGTTGGTTTATCAGTCTGAGACCAGATAACAGCTTATCATTTATATTACTCTTATTGAGGAAGCAAGGAGAGAAAATAGTCTTTATCACTCATCTATCTGCTCATGGCACGTTACTGGATTATAAGATGACCCAGCAATATTTGTGGTATTTTTTGTTGTTGTTGTTATTAATCACACATTAAAACATGAACCTCTCAGAAATGTCAGAGATATAGGATTCTCTTAACCATTTTCATTAAAGCTGCATTTGAAATGAAAACAATGCGAGTTGGAAAACAGCTCACTTTCTAATTATTTATCTGGAACTATTTCAAAGAACTTGTTCTGATGTCAGCACTGGTTGACTATTTCCTGCACGAGTGTTTAATATGGACTTGTGCAGATAACTACATAACAAAGTCCATCTTTATCAGCACGTGTAGCATAGTATTTTTTATAAATCATTAATACCTAAACTCTCGTGAACCGAGGAATCTAGATGATTTATACCAGTCTATACAACTGAAGTGTATAGATGTTCAAATGTAGTGTCTTGAAAATTTATTAAAACCATATTTAAAAATGTATTTATTCAGGAAGCCATTGCAGTAGCAAAAGGAGTAATAAGATTCGATCAATTTTCTAGAGTTGATCTTGGAACATCAATACAGAGGAGTTGAGCTTCCTGCTTGATTTTTCTACTCACAGCTGTAAAGACACATTCCCTGTGATCAATTGTTTGTATTGAAATATCTCATTTTAACATTTAAGAAAAATCAGGAAGATCACCTTTGTTGGATTATATAGTGGAAAGAAATACATATTGATATTGGCATAACAGAAAATTTAAGCAATGAAAATATTTTGATGTCAATGTTTTCTTTGCAAATAAAAATGTAATCATATTTTTTGCGATTCAAAGACGAGAGAACAGTAGGAGTTAAAAAGTGTTGTACCATCTAAAACAAGACCACAACTGCATGAAAATCTTTAGAAATTAAACTCTGGGTTTGTAAATGGCATGAAAGCATGACTTTTGTGTCAACGTTTGAAAATATTAGTAAATATTAAAATGAAGCAAAAAATAAACATTGTACTATCTTCTGTGAAGAATATTTCTCTGAAGATTTTAAAGTGTCAGTAGAGTGCTAATTCTTATGTTTTATTTCAGAGACAAAAATAAAGACTGAATAATTAGGAGGGAGAAGATTTTGCTCCATTTACTCATTAACTGATTGATGTTTAAGGAAACATTAACAAGGACTATAAGCCACAGAGGCCCTGTGGTAAAACTGTGTATCATCAATGTTTTACAAAGTGTAAAGATTTTTGTATCTTCTATAATCTCCTACATGAATTTCAGACTAAAAAAAATAAAAACAAAAAAATCAAAAAGTTTTTAAAAAAATACATCTGAGTTAAGTTATTGTCTGGATGTTGTCATCTAGAATGTTATTTCCTGGAAACTGTTTTTGTAAAAAGAAACGTAGAAAGTTTTTAAAACTCTCATGGTGATCGCTTACAATGATGTACCATATCTCCCAAGATACACATTTCAGAGGGCTGCAAAGTTGGTAGCACTGTTGCCTTGCAGCAAGAAGGTCTTGGGTTCAATTCCCAGTCCAGGGTCTTTCTGCATGGAGTTTGCATGGTCTCCCTGTCCATGTGTGTTTTGTCCCGGTCCTGTTTTTAGATTGTCAGGGTAATTGGCCTCTAAAATCCCTGAGGTGTGTGTGTGCATGGTTGTCTGTCCTTTCTGTCTCTGTGTTGCCCTGTGACAGATTTGTGATCTGTCCAGGATGTCCCCCGCTTCTCGTCCTAAACGTTTGCTGGATATGGGCACTAGCACCTCCTGACCCCTCGAGGGAAAGATGGAGAAATTTCAGATAAAATAGAAAAGTAAGTGCTTTGAGTATTTTGAGTCTTTAACTTTACTTGGCAAATTTTCAAGTCTTATCACCTCCACGTTTTTCATAAAAAAGAACAAAAGAGTTAATCATTACTCAGTGATAATAAGTGGAATATTTAAGGCTTGAGTTGCCACACAACCCACAGACCTGACCCAGAGAGACTGAAAGTAAAGATGGAGATGACAAAATTTTTTCCTGCATTGTTTCTGATCTGCTCTCTCTCCATGGCTCAGCTCCAAGCTGCAGACGATAATGAAATTATTTCACATTTAAGGCGAACAGAATCAGACGCAGCAGATGCAGGGAATCTCTCAGACAATCAACAAACTTGTGCACAGGACATCAATGCAGTGCTGAGAGAGATGAGCGCCTCATTGGCTGGACTGAAGGTAGAGATGAGGTACCTACAGAGAGATAATGAAGGTATGTTAACCAGAAGTCACTGCTTTATGAAACTGAAGGGTTTATATTCAAATAGTCACATTTCAATGTTTTTTTTATTTTACTCCTGCAACAGCCAAGACAAAAGAACTGGACTTGCTAAAACAACAGTACCAAGGTATTTATAAGACAACAAGTAAAACCCTGATGGTTTGATAAAAGACAACATTTATCACAAAAAAGACTTTATATTGACAAAAATCAATTATCTGTTTATTTTTACTACTTCAGAGCAAGTGACAAAAGTGATAAATCTGGAGCAGCAGCACCAAGGTATTTATAACTTTCCGGTAACAATAAAAAATTTTATGTGATAAATGACACACTAAGACGATTTGTTTTTAATTGTTTAGAAGCACAAAAAGCTGATTTATTTAAACAAAAAAGTTTAATAGTTGTCTGACATCAGAGCTATCAGAAATCAATCTTATTAGGGCTCCATACACATACAAAAACTTCACAAGAAATATGTGCACAAGAATTTTTAAAAACAAATCATAAGCAGGTTTTAGAAATGCTTTTGCTGTTGAGGACTGTAATTACTGTGGGAATAAATGTTTTATTTTTATTATATTTCTTTCCTGGACAGCAGGATTGATGGGAGGAGAGTGAATGAGTGATGCAAGGGATGAAAACATTAATATAGATGAGACAATAGTGTTTTTAATGAACCAATTATTTTGATGCCTTGATATGTGATGTGTCAGAGTTTGGTTTTCTCTTTGCTTGTGGTAAAGTTGTATTATGTGACATTGAAAGTAGTAATTAAACATTATTAAAATAATTTTACTATGATGAGATGTTGTTGCTGCTGTATTCCTTTCCACACAGCTCAGTATCGTCAAGATTAGAAACTGCTGTGAATTTGTGATGTCAAACTATTACTGTGAAAAATGACAGAGGATATTTAATTTTATTTGACATTTCATGTTTGTTATAATCAATTTCAGCTCAAATAGGAGAACTGATCAGCATTAAAGCCAGAACAAACAACACTGAGAACCAAGTGGAGGATCTGAAGAGAGAAAGAGAAGGTTTGGAAACTCAACAGTATTTACACAGAAACATTATCTTAACATGTCATGCAACAAAAAAAAAGTTATGTACTTTTGTTTGATGTCCATTAATTGTTTAATATGTTTAGTTGTTTTTCTTTATTAAGAAAATAATTTGTTAATTTTGATTTGTTTAGTTTTACAAACACCAGATAGTTTTTATTTTTAGAACAAGTAACATGCTTAATATAAATAATACTGAATTTTTGTCTCGTAGTGAAACAAGTGGCTTTCTCAGCTTCCTTGCTGGCATCAGGTTCTGGATATACTGGACCATTTAACACACAAACACCTCTAGTCTTCAGACGTGTTGTTACAAATATTGGAAATGCCTACAACCCAAACACAGGTACTCAAGTTTATGCAGAACTTGATTTTCTTTATGATCCTGACATGCAGTTGATTGATTGATCGATTCTTTTGGATGAAAAACTTTCATTAGAACATTATTTTTATATTTTCTTTAGGTATTTTTATTGCACCGGTGAGAGGAGTCTATCACTTTGAGTTCCACTTACATGGAGGTGGACATGCATCACCTGGGACAGGTGCCATTTTGGTCAAGAATGGAGACATTATCTTCAGTGCATTTGCACATCAGCCTTCCTACGATGTTAACCCATCTAATGGTGCCACATTGCTGCTAGAAACTGGAGATGTTGTGTTTTTGCGTCAGTGGCAAAACACAAGGATTTATGACAACCAAAATCATCACACCACCTTCAGTGGACACTTGGTTTTCACTGTGTGAGCAGAAAGCAGTTCAAATGTTATTTCTGCCTCAGAAGTGAATCATAATATATACATGACGTCTTTTTAATTGGATTCAATATTTTGTATTTTATTTCATTTTGTGTTAAATTTCCACAATAATTTACCAGTCTCAATGGTTCTAGCAGTTCTCTTTCAATTGTTGTTTTCTTAATAGAATACACACATAATGCAATATTGAACTTTAATTTAGTTTTGTTGAAACATTTATTGGAATGTGCCGATAGTTTCGGATCAAAATTGTTCACTTTTTAATGCACTAAACCTGAAGGTGTTATTTGCAGTCTTTCATAAAATTTGTTTTTGAAAAATAAAAATATATCTGTATTTTTTTTTTTGAGTGACCACAAAACTATAAAATCATTGAACCAGGAACAACTGTCCCTCCCCAGTGGTGATAAACAGAAAAAGATGAATGGCTCCTACAGCAACATAAATACAATTCAATCTGGAGAATCTCACACAGAGAAAAGCTTCAGTTAGAAAGATTTTATTTGGATCAAAGTTCTTTGGCGCTCGGTCCTGGCAGAAGACCTGCATGCTGAGGATCACCACGAGCTGGATGGTCGGCTCAGGGCAAAGGTCAGGGTAGTCTTCCCTCTAGTCTGGATACTGGTGTGGAGCGGCATCTAGAGAGGAAGGAGCACAGACGGAGCAGGGAAGGTGTCAGACTGGATGAAGGTGGAGACGGGGAGGAGGTGGGTTGAAGGGCGGCTGAAGAGCGGGTGAACCTGAGGTCGCTTATGCTTTAGAGGGAACCCTTGCACGGTGATTGGCTGGATTGGAGTCGGGCTCCGGTGCTGGTTGGCTGCAGTGGGGACGTGGTGATTGGATGATGGTGATAAACTGGGTCGAGTCTCCCAGCTTGAATTTACGCTTTGGCTTCATTAGGAAAATTGTGAACGTCTTTTTCATGTTGGATTAATGTTCATTGAATCAGATTCAGGAAATTGCAATTTGAGCCTCAGTAATTAGTTGGTAAACACATTTTTGTATTGATTTTATAAAAGTTGACTTACCTCTGCAACTTTTCTTCCAAAGTTGTTTTTTTTTTCATGTGTTGTTTTTTGAGGAAGGACAAAGAAAATACTTGGTTATCAGCAGTTTATCACATGTCAGATGCTGCTATCTGGTAAGTGTTGGTTTATCAGTCTGAGACCAGATAACAGCTTATCATTTATATTACTCTTATTGAGGAAGCAAGGAGAAAAAATAGTCTTTATCACTCATCTATCTGCTCATGGCACGTTACTGGATTATAAGATGACCCAGTGATGTTAGAGGTGTTTTTTGTTGTTGTTGTTATTAATCACACATTAAAACATGAACCTTTCAGAAATGTCAGAGATATAGGATTCTCTTATCAACCATTTTCATTAAAGCTGCGTTTGAAATGAAAACAATGCGAGTTGGAAAACAGCTCACTTTTTAATTATTTATCTGGAACTATTTCAAAGAACTTGTTCTGATGTCAGCACTGGTTGACTATTTCCTGCACGAGTGTTTAATATGGACTTGTGCAGATAACTACATAACAAAGTCCATCTTGGTCAGCACGTGTAGCATTGTATTTTTTATAAATCATTAATACCTAAACTCTCCGTGAACCGAGGAATCTAGATGATTTATACCAGTCTATACAACTGAAGTGTATAGATGTTCAAATGTAGTGTCTTGAAAATTTATTAAAACCATATTTAAAAATGTATTTATTCAGGAAGCCATTGCAGTAGCAAAAGGAGTAATAAGATTCGATCAATTTTCTAGAGTTGATCTTGGAACATCAATACAGAGGAGTTGAGCTTCCTGCTTGATTTTTCTACTCACAGCTGTAAAGACACATTCCCTGTGATCAATTGTTTGTATTGAAATATCTCATTTTAACATTTAAGAAAAATCAGGAAGATCACCTTTGTTGGATTATATAGTGGAAAGAAATATATATTGATATTGGCATAACAGAAAATTTAAGCAATGAAAATATTTTGATGTCAATGTTTCTTTGCAAATAAAAATGTAATCATATTTTTTGCGATTCAAAGACGAGAGAACAGTAGGAGTTAAAAAGTGTTGTACCATCTAAAACAAGACCACAACTGCATGAAAATCTTTAGAAATTAAACTCTGGGTTTGTAAATGGCATGAAAGCATGACTTTTGTGTCAACGTTTGAAAATATTAGTAAATATTAAAATGAAGCAAAAAATAAACATTGTACTATCTTCTGTGAAGAATATTTCTCTGAAGATTTAAAGTGTCAGTAGAGTGCTAATTCTTATGTTTTATTTCAGAGACAAAAATAAAGACTGAATAATTAGGAGGGAGAAGATTTTTGCTCCATTTACTCATTAACTGATTGATGTTTAAGGAAACATTAACAAGGACTATAAGCCACAGAGGCCCTGTGGTAAAACTGTGTATCATCAATGTTTTACAAAGTGTAAAGATTTTTGTATCTTCTATAATCTCCTACATGAATTTCACACACAAAAAAAAAAAAAAATCTAAAAAGTTAAAAAAAAAACCAAACATCTGAGTTAAGTTATTGTCTGGATATTGTCCTCCTGAATGTTATTTCCTTGAAACTGTTTTTGTAAAAAGAAACGTAGAAAGTTTTTAAAACTCATGGTGATCGCTTACAATGATGTACCATATCTCCCAAGATACACATTTCAGAGGGCTGCAAAGTTGGTAGCACTGTTGCCTTGCAGCAAAAAGGTCTTGGGTTCAATTCCCAGTCCAGGGTCTTTCTGCATGGAGTTTGCATGGTCTCCCTGTCCATGTGTGTTTTGTCCCGGTCCTGTTTTTGGACTGTCAGGTTAATTGGCCTCTCAAATCCCCGAGGTATGTGTGTGCATGGTTGTCTGTCCTTTCTGTCTCTGTGTTGCCCTGTGACAGATTTGTGATCTGTCCAGGATGTCCCCCGCTTCTCGTCCTAAACATTCACTGGATATGGGCACTAGCACCTCCTGACCCCTGAGGGAAAGATGGAGAAATTTCAGATTAAATAGAAAAGTAAGTGCTTCGAGTATTTTGAGTCTTTAACTTTACAATGCAAATTTTCAAGTCTTACCACCTCCACGTTTTTCTAAAAAAAAAAAAAAAAAGGAAAAATAAAGTTAATCATTACTCAGTGATAATAAGTGGAATATTTAAGGCTTGAGTTGCCACACAACCCACAGACCTGACCCAGAGAAACATTATCTTAACATGTCATGCAACAAAAAAAAAGTTATGTACTTTTGTTTGATGTCCATTAATTGTTTAATATGTTTAGTTGTTTTTTCTTTATTAAGAAAATAATTTGTTAATTTAGATTTTTTTTTATTTTACAAACACCAGATAGTTTTTTTTTAGAACAAGTAACATGCTTGATACCAATAATACTGAATTTTTGTCTCGTAGTGAAACAAGTGGCTTTCTCAGCTTCCTTGCTGGCATCAGGTGGTGGACATACTGGACCATTTAACACACAAACACCTCTAGTCTTCAGACATGTTGTTACAAATATTGGAAATGCCTACAACCCAAACACAGGTACTCAAGTTTCTGCAGAACTTGATTCTCTTTATGATCCTGACATGCAGTTGGTTGATTGATCGATTCTTTATGCAGGTAAATGAACGAAAAATTTCCTTAAAAAGATTATTTTTATATTTTCTTCAGGTTTTTTCATTGCCCCGGTGAGAGGAGCCTATCACTTTGAGTTCCACTTACATGGAGGTGGACATGCATCACATGGGACAGCTGCTGTGTTGGTCAAGAATGGAAATCCTATTTTCATTGCATATGAACATCAACCTTCCTACTCTGTTAACCCATCTAATGGTGTCACATTGCTGCTAGAAACTGGAGATGTTGTGTTTTTGCGTCAGTGGCAAAACACAAGGATTTATGATAGCCAAAATCATCACACCACCTTCAGTGGCCACTTGGTTTTCACTGTGTGAGCAGAAAGCAGTTCAAATGTTATTTCTGCCTCAGAAGTGAATCATGGTATATATGATGTTTTCATAACTGGTTTCAATAATTTGTATTTTATTTCATTTTCTCTTAAATCAGATCAAAATTGTTAACTTTTAAATGGACAAAACCTGAAAGTGTTTTGTGTAGTCTTTAATAATTAAAATAAACAAACAAACAAAAAAAGAAAATATATGCATATGTTTTTTGAGCGACCAAAGAAATGAAGAGGTAAATTCAAACTTGAAGACTCTTTAGCCCCACCCTCATCATCCAAGTGGCGAGTCCCGCTAATCATCGACGACCTATCATCACTGGACCAAGCCATGTCACGGCCAATCACGCTGCAGTTGATAAGGATCCATGGTCTTCTGCTTTGCTGAACCCACCTCCAGCCCTTCTCCACCTCCACTGTCCTGGCTCTGCAGGCATACTTCATTCACCGACCTCCACCACCAGTATCGGGTCCCGGGGGATGACATTCCTATCAACATCGGGAATGCTCATCCGAGTTTATCGCAATCACAGCTCGATGTTCTTAGCCCGAGCGCCAAAGACTTAATTTATGCTGTCAAAAAACTTTTCTAATTGCTTTCTTTCTGTGTCTGAGGCTCTCCAGATAGAAGCTCATTGAACCAGGAACAATAGTTTTTTTTTCCAGTTTGTGTGTGTTTTTAATGTGGCAAAATACTTCAAGTAACTAAGTTTGTGGTTTAACCAGGGTACCTAGCTCCTGCACTAATGTCGTTAATGTTTGTGTGGAACTCTGAAACAATCAGTGTGACTCTTCTGACTTAAATGTGATAAATTAAAAAACTACCATACCTTTAGTACAGTACCAAAATATTCTATATAGCTGTTATTCATAGGGTGATTTCATATTAGAAGAGTTGACAGTGAATAGGTTTAGGATTAATATCTTGAGTTAGTTTGCATGAACCTAAAGCAATTGTCGTGGCTAAAATCCTTTATTTTAGGTTAGTGGATGCTAATGTTCCTGATCGGCGTTGGTTTTATGTGCACTCAATCAAGATTCGTTAAGCCAATCTTCATTTGACTCATAATCATAAAATCAATTATTTTCTGTACAATATCCATTGTCTTGCCATTTCCCTTTAGAACAGGAAAAATCAAACATAAATCCAAACCAAACTTAGTAGAAAACTGTTTGTTTCTTTCCATTAGCAACACCTGAACTGAATCACACTTGACCGTGAGTAACTCCATCCCCCTTCAGACAAACTCAGAACACTAAATGAAATACGCCCCCTAGTGGCGATAAACACAGGAAAAGATAAATAGCTCCTGCAGCAACATGATCACAATAAGAAAATTGTGAAAGTTATTTTCATGTTGTATAAATGTTCATAGAATCTGATTTCCAGAGGACATCATTGGTATTCAGGGAGATATTATGTGCCTCTTTAACTAAAGGTTGGCATGATATAGAGCCCTGTAGGAGACGTGGGGATTTTTTTTTTCTTTCGCGTTCTCTTGTTAAACTTTTGTGTTACTATGCAATAATGTACTGATTTGTTCATGCAGCATAATTGAATATTGTAAGCCTTTCTTACAGTGGCTGTGGTACTTTTTCTGTGATAATAGGATTTTGTGAGGTTTTTGCATGTATGTTAATATTTTGTTGTGAAATATCTGAAGGTTTATATCTTTTTCTTAAGTATAGAAATGCACCACCAACTTATGATATAAACAGAAATTTTCCATAAGTAGGAATGGAAGAAAAAATACATCTAAACTATTTGGACTATTTTTGAGTTATTATCACGAGGTAATAAGTAATTTGACAGATTTTATTGTGTCTCTTTTGTGTTGGTTGTCTAAAAAGATTAAAGGGCCGTTTCCATGTGCAGTTTCATCTCAGACATAAACATGCAATGAATAAATGTATATTCAATTAAATTAGTTCAGAAATAATTTCACTGAGGCTCTTTGAATTTGTATATATTTGAAATTATTGTTTGTGACTGTATACAAAATTGACAATTTCCCATGTCTCTTGCAGGGCTCAGTAGTACGGAATACAAAAAAACAAAACCTGAGATTAAAGATGGATGTAAATTTCTTGCTGGAAGATTAAGGAGGCATATTTATCTGGAGAATAAAAAACTGACATTAAATGTTGTTTCATAAAACATAGTATGTTTTAAATAAACATAAATGAACTATTTTCACTAATAATAAATCAATTAGTGATTTATTATTAGTCAATTACTGTTCCAGTTCTTTAGAACAGGAACAGTAAAAGTGTCATGATTGATGCTAATCATTTGACCCACATGCAGAAAACCCAAACTCTGTTTGGTTTTACCTCAAGACTTTAACTTTAACTTAACACATCAACTTTTATTCAAAGTTATACATTTTGTTGTTGTTGTTGTTGTTGTTGTTGTTGTTGTTGTTGTTGTTTTTCACATGTTAAATTTTGAGGAAGTGGGTGAAGAAAATAGTTATCAGTATTATATCACATGTCTGATGGTGCTTTCTGGTAAGTGTTGGTTCATCAGTCTGGGGCCAAATAAAAACTTATCATTTATGTTATTGAGGAAGCACCGCAATATGATTTGATAAATGATCTAGTGTTGATCAGGATTCTTGGATCAGCAATAAAGTGGAGTTGAGTTTCCTGCTAAATTTTTCTAACAGGAAAAATCTGTCAGAAATTTTTCCTGTAATCAATTATACATATTGAAATATCTCGTTTTAACATCTCAATGACTTAGAAACAAAAATCAGGAAGATCACTTCTGTTGGATTGTACAGTGGAAAGAAATACATATTAATATTGACATAACAGAGAATTGAAGCAATGAAAACATTTGGGTGTTGATGTTTTTTTGTAAAAAAAAAAGAAAATAATTCTGTTTTTCTTCAATCCAAATCAAAACAAAACTTGTGCGTCGGCCGGAATGATTGAAAATATTCTTCTCTACCAATAAAACAACCTGAGTGTTTTTAAGAACTTCTCTACAAGTTATTGTCGTAAACATAATTCAATTATATTTTGCTTTAGGTATTGCCCTTCAATATTATATACTTAAAACTATTTTTGAAAGAAGAAACCTGTAGAAAGTTTGAATAACTTTCATGGTGATCATTTACAATGATGTCTCATATTTCCCTTGATACAAATTTCAGATCAAAGAGTAACCAGAATAAAATAACTTTAAGTTTTATCACCTGCATGTTTTTCTAAAAAAAAGAAAAAAAAACAGTTAATCATTACTCAGTGATAATAAGTGGAATATTTAAGGCTTGAGTTGCCACACAATCACAGACCTGACCCAGAGAGACTGAAAGTAAAGATGGAGATGACAAGATATTTTCCTGCATTGTTTCTGATCTGCTCTCTCTCCATGGCTCAGCTCCAAGCTGCAGACGATAATGAAATTATTTCACATTTAAGGCAAACAGAATCACAGGCAGCAGATGCAGGGAATCTCTCTGACAATCAACAAACTTGTGCACAGGACATCAATGCAGTGCTGAGAGAGATGAGCTCCTCATTGGCTGGACTGAAGGTAGAGATGAGGTACCTACAGAGAGATTATGAAGGTAACACAAGTACAGCATTTGGAAAAGTTTCTTTGAAAGATATTTTAATGTTAACGTAGAAGATAAGATTATATTTCACTTTTGTCTCTTTATAACAGAAAAAACGAAAGAACTGGAGCTGCTGAAACAACTGTACCAAGGTATGTATCAAACTATAATTATTGAAAGTAATATATTAACTGATTTTATCTATTCATTGTCCTGGTAAAAAAGTTTAAATAACCATAGCAGTAGTGCCAAGGAACATGTTGAATTATAGAGGGAGATTTGCAGATGGACATATGATAAATATTAGTGATGGTAAAATGTTTGTTTTTATTATTGTATTTCCAGTTCAGGCAGCAGAGCTGATCAGTGTTAAAGCCCTGATAAACATCAGTGCAGCTCAAATGAAAGCTCTGAAGAACGAAGGAGAATGTTAAAAAATATTATTGAACACATCATGATATTATAGGAAACCCTTATGCTATAATTACCAAGGCTTACATTCTCTATAATAAACTAAATGTATTAAAATGTCCCTTTTTAACATATCAGTGACTAAGAAACTAAAATTGGGAAGATCGGGATTCCTGTGGACAAAGAACAGATTAATATGACTGAAATTATTTTTAAAAAGCCAAGCAATTTTTTTGAATGTGGTCATTGACCAGCAGGGATTTCAGGATGTTTTTATATTTCACCAGTCATGGTGCAATTAGCTAATAATCCTAGAGAGCTCTGATGTTTCATGTTTGATTTTTGAGGGTCATCCTTGTCACGAGATACAAAACCTGCATAATATTATAAAGACACACCCTGTAGAAATGAGGCAAATTATCTACAAGTCTTCATTTTTGATTAACTATATAGTGGGGGAAAATACACATTGGAGAAATGTAGCAGTGTAAATATTTGAATGTAAATGTTTCATTGCATTAACATTTTTTGGAAAAATAAATATATACATCTTTTTTTTTATCCACAGCTCAAACGAAAGAAGTGGAGGTGCAGAAAGAAGAGTTGGACAAACTGAAACAACAGCATCAAGGTATGGCAATGAAAAAAAACATAATGAAATTAATTCTATCAAAACATTACTTTTGTGTCAAATGCCATGCTTAAAAATATTGGCAAATATTAAACTAAAGAAAGATAACTAAATTTTTATTTGATAATAACACTTATAATAGTAATTGAAGTCTCATATTACCATTAATATGTCATATTACTGTTATAATACTTACAGAGCTGACAGTAAAGGATCTGCAAAGAAACTAAATGTCTCTTTTACACATACATAAAAGAAATTAATTTTACTTCCTGACTTCACAAACCAGGGAATATTCTTTTGTCTTACTTGCTTATTTTGGATAAATGTGAAATGAATTATGTAATTAATATAATAATCATGTATTGATAGTTATTCTTTCACTTTGTATGATTTCAGCTCATGCAGAGGAACTGCTGAGAGTTCAAACCAGGGCAAACGGCACTGAACAGCAGGTGGAGGCTTTGAGGACAGAAGGAGAAGGTTTGTGAATTCAGAAATGGAGCTAAGGCGTAAATTCAAGCTGGGAGACAGAACACAGCTGATCTACAAACAAAAATGATCCACTTCGATCACGTCACACCCCGCTGCGGCCAATCAGGATCGGCGCCCTTGCGCGTCCCAGCCAATCAACGTCAAGCCGGTCCATTCAAGAAGTCTAGCCTCCGGGGATCTGCCTGCTCGTCAGCTGTGCTTCGCCCACCTCCTCCCCATCTCACCTTCAGCCCGATGATCATTCTCCAGGCGCCCTACCGCTCCTCCATCCAAGGCTCCTCTCCATCACTAGTTTTCGGACCGGGGGGTAAGACTAGTGAGCTTCGCCGGACTCATCATCTTCCCCGGCGATCTACGCTCACTAGTCTTCCGCCGGTTCGAGCGCCAAAGATTTGTTCATTAAAATCTCCTAACTGCTTATTTTTTTCTGTGTGAGTTGATAAAGATTGAAATAAACTCACTATGACAACAATCTCATTTGTTAAAAAATTTACATTTGTTTAGAATAAAGAATGCATTGCTGTTGTAAAAAAATCTGGCAAAATATAAAATTTTGGATTTGTTTTTTTTTTTTTCATTCAAAAAGAATCGCTGTTCACTGTTCACTTGATAAATTCATAATGGATCCTAATATTTACTTTTGTTCTCACAGTGAAACGAGTGGCTTTCTCAGCCTCCTTGTTGGACTCAGGTGGTGGAGAGTTTGGTCCATTTAACACACACACAACTCTGGTCTTCAGACATGTTGTTTCAAACATTGGAAATGCCTACAACAAAAACACAGGTACCTGAGTTTACATAATGATGATGATGATGATGATTATTATTTATTTTATTGTTATTATTTTGCATTTCAGGTTTTTTCACAGCTCCAGTCAGAGGAGTCTACCACTTTGAGTTCTATATCTATGGACCTGGACATGCTTCATATCCTTCAGGTGCTGTGTTGACTAAGAATGGAGAACATATAGTTATTGCATATGAACATCAGCCTTCTGATGCTGCTAAATCTGCTAATGGTGTCACATTGCTGCTAGAGGTTGGAGATGTTGTATTTTTGCGTCAGTGGCAAAACTCAAGAATTTATGACAACCAAAATCGTCACACAACCTTCAGTGGTCCTCTGCTTTTCACCATGTGAGCAGCAAGCAGGGCTGATTTCAACCATCATCTCTACATGTCAGAACTGACTTTGAGCTACATTGGTGTGAAAAGTTATTTGCTTTTTTCTTGATGTTCTAATATTTTGCATGTTTGTTATAATTCAGTGATTCGTAACATCAGCTCAATTTAAATTAACTAAACACAAAGTGCAGTTTTGAAATAAGGATGTTTTTTCTGAAGGTAGGAAATAATCCTAACCCACCTCGTCCTGTGTGACAAAGTGATTAACCTGATTACTGCCACACCTGTTCTCAATTAAAACATCACATAAGAGCTTCCTGGAAAAGCAAAGTACACAAGCAGTTCCTCAAAACGTTGACTTCATTTTGAGATCCACCAAAATTCAGGAACAAATGAGAAAAAAAAACTGTGAGCCTGGAAATGCTTACAAAGCTCAAGAATTCATGATAACTAGAATAATCATGATACCTTCAGTGATCACCTTGTGAGCAACAAACAGTACAAATTTGTATATGTGTGTGTATGTATCACATACAATATCCTGATGCGATACAGAATATTTCTTATCTTCTATCACATAAATACAGGGTATTGTAGTTTCCCCCTGCATGATGAACATCAACACAAAGTCATTATTAAACTGAGCAAAAACCTTATTTTTAGCCATAAATCAATTCAAGAGTGAACTATTGGATATTTTGTCTTTGTGGTTTTTATCCTGGTCTAATTGTTTTGTACAGTTTTATACTGAATATTCTGTGAGCATTTGATGAATAATTGAATGGAATATTCTATATAAATGAAATTGTTTTTTCATTGAGTCATCACGCAGTGATCTGAACTTACATTATTAACATGGTAATATAGAAATATTGTCATATTATTGTCATAAATTGTTATTTCTCAGTAACACACACAAGCTGAGACCTTTGTTCTGGGAGTGATGTTGTGTCTTACACAAAACACATTCAGTTCAAAAAAGAAGTTCATCCATTGATCCCAGAGATAAAAGAGAAAATACGGCCAAGACTCAACAACAACACATCAACGTGGAACATGTGAATGTCACCGTATGTTAATGTTGGAAAATATGTGTGTGAAATTAGACTGAGAGAAGCTTCATTGGCTTTGTCCCTCTGACCGGTCTCTGAATTATGACTGGAATTAAATGGTCAATTTTGGAATTATTTAATATGTAAATTTACTTAGTTTTTTAAACATGTCTTACAGTCTTCACTTATGCATCCCATAGAGACGTATTATAGACATATTTCAAATTTCTCTTTGGCAGGTTTTTAATTTTCATTTCTGTTGAATTCTCATAATCAAAGTTTCTGTTTGTTCTTTTGTTTGTGTGATCAATCATTAACATCTTTACTTTACCAGGAGTTATAATAAACCTGGATCTATCTCTGTACTCTCTTTGTTGAACTGTAAGAGTTGACGCACATTTCAGTGATGATAGTGATAAAACTTTTATTTGTTCTTTTATATAACAAATCATCAACAGCTTTTTTTTCTCAGCAATAAACTTAGATCTATGTCTGTAATTTTTGTTGAAAGCTGTTCTTGAACTTTGTGTTGACCCACATGTCAGTAATCTGGTTACTTTGTCACTAAATATTTTATGAGAAAATCTCAAAAAACTGAACAAAGTTTATCATGTACAACAGATACAGTTTTCATTCTAACTAGTGTTAGTCCTAATTGTCTAAAACCTGAGATTCAAAATGGTAAACTTCATTTCTGATTAGTTTCACTTAGTTTGAAACAAACTGTTCAGTCAAATGAAATATTTTCAAAATACCATATTTTAATAACTTGTTTTAACAGTTATTGACTCATTTCTACCAGTATTTTATGACCTCTAATATATTATCACATATTGTCACAATGTTCTAAAATTGATTTCAAAACCTTTATCTGACAATCAGCCGTTTGACCAGAAAATACATCACAATGTAAAGAGAACTGTGACTTAAATAATAAATCTGATTTTTGTGCAAAAAGGTTAACCTTTCAATTTCCTCATTCATAATTACGAGGGAGAAGATTTTTGCTCCATTTACTCATTAACTGATTGACGTTTAAGGAAACATTAATAAGGACTATAAGTCACAGTGGCCCTGTGGTAAAACTGTGTATCATCAATATTTTCCAAATTGTAAAGATTTTTGTATATTCTATAATCTCCTACATGAATTTCAGATATATATATATATATATATATATATATATATATATATATAGATATATAGATATATATATCTATATATATATCTATATATATATATATATATATATATATATATATGTTTTTTTTTAAAAAAAAAAAAACATTTGAGTTAAGATATTGTCTGGATATTGTCCTCCAGAATATTATTTCCTTGAAACTGTTTTTGTAAAAAGAAACGTAGAAAGTTTTTAAAACTCTCATGGTGATCGCTTACAATGATGTACCATATCTCCCAAGATACACATTTCAGAGGGCTGCAAAGTTGGTAGCACTGTTGCCTTGGAGCAAAAAGGTCCTGGGTTCAATTCCCAGTCCAGGGTCTTTCTGCATGGAGTTTGCATGGTCTCGCTGTCCATGTGTTTTTGTCCCGGTCCTGTTTTTAGACTGTCACTTTAATTGGCCTCTAAAATTCCAGAGGTGTGTGTGTGCATGGTTGTTTGTCCTTTCTGTCTCTGTGTTGTCCTGTGACAGATTTGTGATCTGTCCAGGATGTCCCCCGCTTCTCGTCCTAAACATTCACTGGATATGGGCACTAGCACCTCCTGACCCCTCGAGGGAAAGATGGAGAAATTTCAGATAAAATAGAAAAGTAAGTGCTTTGAGTATTTTGAGTCTTTAACTTTACTTGGCAAATTTTCAAGTCTTATCACCTCCACGTGATAAGACTTGCTTTCTCTCCATGGCTCAGCTCCAAGCTGCAGACGATAATGAAATTATTTCACATTTAAGGCAAAATGAATCACAGGCAGCAGATGCAGGAATCTCTCAGACAATCAACAAACTTGTGCACAGGACATCAATGCAGTGCTGAGAGAGATGAGCGCCTCATTGACTGGACTGAAGGTTGGTATGGAGTACCTACAGAGAGATAATGAAGGTATTAACCAGAAGTCACTGCTTTATGAAACTGAAGGGTTTATATTCAAATAGTCACATTTCAATGTTTTTTTTATTTTACTCCTGCAACAGCCAAGACAAAAGAACTGGACTTGCTAAAACAACAGTACCAAGGTATTTATAAGACAACAAATAAAACCCTGATGTTTTGATAAAAGACAACATTTATCACAAAAAAGACTTTATATTGACAAAAATCAATTATCTGTTTATTTTTACTACTTTAGAGCAAGTGACAAAAGTGATAAATCTGGAGCAGCAGCACCAAGGTATTTATAAGACAACAAATAAAATCCTCATATAAAAAGACATAATTTAGCAAAAGAAGGACATTATACTAACTACTATAAATTATCTGTTTATTTTTACTACTTTAGAGCAAGTGACAAAAGTGATAAATCTGGAGCAGCAGCACCAAGGTATTTATAACTTTCCTGTAACAATAAATTATTTTATGTGATAAATGACACAATAAGACGATTTGTTTTAAAATGTTTAGAAGCACAAAAAGCTGATTTATTTAAACAAAAAGTAGAAAAGTTATCTAACATTGAAGCTATCAGAAATCAATCTTATTAAGGCTCCATACACACAAAAACTTCACAAGAAACATGTACACAATTTTAAAAACAAATCGTAAGCAGGTTTTAGAAATGCTTCTGCTGTTGAGGACTGTAATTACTGTGGGAATGAATGTTTTATTTTTATTATTTTCTTTCCTGGACAGCAGGATTGATGGGAGGAGAGTGAATGAGTGATGCAAGGGATGAAAAACATTAATATAGATGAGACAATAGTGTTTTTAATGAATCAATTATCTTGCTGCCTTGATATGTGATGTGTCAGAATTTGGTTTTCTCTTTGCTTGTGGTAAAGTTGTATTATGTGACATTGAAAGTAGTAATTAAACATTATTAAAATAATTTTACTATTCCTTTTCACACAGCACAGTAACGTCAAGATTATAAACTGCTGTGAATTTGTGATATCAAACTATTACTGTGAAAAATGACAGGATATTTAATTTTATTTGACATTTCATGTTTGTTATAATCAATTTTCAGCTCAGATAGGAGAACTGATCAGCGTTAAAGCCAGAACAAACAACACTGAGAACCAAGTGGAGGATCTGAAGAGAGAAAGAGAAGGTTTGGAAACTCAACAGTATTTACACAGAAACATTATCTTAACATGTCATGCAACAAAAATAAAGTTATGTACTTTTGTTTGATGTCCATTAATTGTTTAATATGTTTAGTTTTTTTTTTTTAAATTAAGACAGTAGTTTGTTAGTTTTGATTTGTTTAATTTTACAAACACCAGATAGTTTTTTTTTAGAACAAGTAACATGCTTGATACCAATAATACTGAATTTTTGTCTCGTAGTGAAACAAGTGGCTTTCTCAGCTTCCTTGCTGGCATCAGGTTCTGGATATATTGGACCATTTAACACACAAACACCTCTAGTCTTCAGACATGTTGTTACAAATATTGGAAATGCCTACAACCCAAACACAGGTACTCAAGTTTCTGCAGAACTTGATTTTCTTTATGATCCTGACATGCAGTTGGTTGATTGATCGATTCTTTATGTAGATATACGGATGAAAAAAGTTCAATAGAAACATTATTTTTATATTTTCTTCAGGTTTTTTCATTGCCCCGGTGAGAGGAGCCTATCACTTTGAGTTCCACTTACATGGAGGTGGACATGCATCACATCCGACAGCTGCTGTGCTGGTCAAGAATGGAAATCCTATTTTCATTGCATATGAACATCAACCTTCCTACTCTGTTAACCCATCTAATGGTGTCACATTGCTGTTAAAAACTGGAGATGTTGTGTTTTTTGCGTCAGTGGCAAAACACAAGGTTTATGATGACCATAATCGTCCTACCACCTTCAGTGGACACTTGCTTTTCACTGTGTGAGCAGAAAAGCAGTCCAAATGTTATTTCTGCCTCAGAAGTTAATCATGATATATATGATGTTTTTATAACTGGAATCAATCATTTGTATTTTATTTCATTTTGTATTAAATTTCACAATAATTTACCAGCCACAATGGTTCTAGCAGTTCTTCTTTGTTCTTTTCTTAATAGAATACACACAAAATGCAACATTGAACTTTAATTTAGTTTTGTTGAAACATTTACTGAAATGTGTCGTTTGTTTCAGATCAAAATTGTTCACTTTTTAATGGACTAAACCTAAAGGTGGTATTTGCTTTCTTTCATAAAATTTGTTTTTCAAAAATAAAAAATATCTGTTTTTTTATTTATTTTTTGAGTGACCACAAAACTATAAAATCATTGAACCAGGAACAACTGTCCCTCCTGTTGAAATAGAATTTTAAAGTAGCACAATAGTACATAAGTTTACTTTTAGGTTAAGATAAACTTAGATACAAATCCAAACTAAGACAACTGGTGACTCTGAACGTATATAAATTCTTAAGGAGGATTCGACAGAAAACACAGGCCTAGACTCCTTAAATCTCTTTAGACAGAGTCTGTCTGTCAGACAATTAACAAATTCCTTAGCGTGGTTCAAAAGTTCACTAGGATCTTAAAACTTTTTCTAAATAATTTTATCTATATTAGAATTAACTATATTTCTTTAAGTATGTTTTGAATTAGTTACTTATTAGATCCAAACTTATAGTCATTATTTAGCATTACATTTTGTGCAAGTTTGTTTAAAAATACAAACTGGTTACTTGTTGAAGCATTTTGAGGCAGAGATAATGCTGCAGACCCACGCTATAAATCAGATCACCTAAAGGCGGCTGGTACGAGAAGAGCTGTTGGGTCTCAGAGGTAATAAAATTAACATTTAAGACAGCCCACACAAAGGAAAAACACACCTCCTAATGCATATATTTAAATGAGGAGAATACACATTCTTATAAAATGGTTTGTTTCACAGCAGAAGTCCGAATCTCTTTGTGCTGAGTGAGAGATTTCCAAAATGCATTTTGTTTATTTCTGTTTCCTTTCAACTCATGCAGGTAATTCTATGTTTGTCATGTGTTGGACTTCTTGATAATCCAGGTGTAATGCTGTTGTAACAATCTGCATTGCATTGAATTTTTTGGATAAAACTCTCGATATCTGAAGTCTGACGTCGTATGATTGGTCTTTCTCCCTCCACACGAACACAGACACAAGAACCTAGGACAGAGGAATAAATTAACGAGCTAAATCAAGTTATTCCTCTTTTTAATTCTTAACACTCCCCAGTGGTGATAAACAGAAAAAGATGAATGGTTCCTACAGCAACATAAATACAATTCAATCTGGAGAAAAGCTTCACTTAGAAAGATTTTATTTGGATCCAACTTCTTTAATTTAACTTTGTTGAAACATTTACTGCAATGTGGTATTTGTTTCAGAACAAAATTGTTAACTTTTAAATTGACAAAACCTGAAAGTATTTTGTGTAGTCTTTAATATATCTTTTTTTAATACAAATATATGCATATGTTTTTTGAGCGACCAAAGAAAGAGAAGCTCATTGAATCAGGAACAAATGGAGCCAAGGCAAAAATTCAAGCTGGGAGACTCGAACCAGCTCACACTCATCTCTCATCACCACGTCATACCGCTGCCAATGAGGTCCGGAGCAACACACCGCTTCAAGCCAATCGTCATCCAGGAATGTCTTCAAATGTCAAGCTACCACGGGATCGACCTGCTCGTCGATGCGCACGACCCACCTCTGCCCCCTCATCTCCACCTCTGACCTGACGGTTGTCCTCCAGGATCCTTCCGCACCCAACTCCACCACCCGTTTTCATTCCCGGGGGAAGACTGTCCGAGCTCGACCGAGCTGATGTCCGGCCCGCGATGATCCGCGATTCACAGTCTTCAGCCGGGCCCGAGCGCCAAAGAATTTGTATCATTAAATCTTCTAACTGCTATTTTCTTCTCTCCGTGAGTCTCTCCAGATTGAATTGTTTTGTTTGTTTTTTTGTTGTTGTTGTTTTTTTTTCAGTTTCTGTGTGTTTTTAATGTGGCAAAATACTTCAAGTAAAATTACCCATATTTTAAAGTCATGCTAACTAAGTTTGTGGTTTAACCAGGGTACCTAGCTCCTGCACTAATGTCGTTAATGTTTGTGTGGAACTCTGAAACAATCAGTGTGACTCTTCTGACTTAAATGTGATAAATTAAAAAACTACCATACCTTTAGTACAGTACCAAAATATTCTATATAGCTGTTATTCATAGGGTGATTTCATATTAGAAGAGTTGACAGTGAATAGGTTTAGGATTAATATTGTTATCGGGGCCCGCGGACGGATTGTGAAGGTGCAGGATAAAAACAACTCCAGGAGGAGATAATGTTGATCTTCCTTTAATGGAGATAACAGAACAGGAACACAGCCGGGTGGTTTATGTGCTCTAACGCCGATGCAGACGAACTTCACACGTCCACACCAGTCAGCGAGCAACAACACACAAAAACAAAGTTCCCTCGACAAAACCCTCCCCCTGGAACACACAACCGCTGCATGCAGAGTTCCGCTAACGAAATAAATGCACAGTAACGCACTTCCTCAGATCAGCCTAGCAAGTACGGGAAATAATACTGGCATAAGGGGAAACACACAAGCACTACACTATCTTGAGTTAGTTTGCATGAACCTAAAGCAATTGTCGTGGCTAAAATCCTTTATTTTAGGTTAGTGGATGCTAATGTTCCTGATCGGCGTTGGTTTTATGTGCACTCAATCGAGATTCGTTAAGCCAATCTTCTTTTTGACTCATAATCATAAAATCAATTATTTTCTGTACAATATCCATTGTCTTGCCATTTCCCTTTAGAACAGGAAAAATCAAACATAAATCCAAACCAACCCTAGTAGAAAATCTGTCAGAAATTTTTCCTGTAATCAATTATACATATTGTAATATCTCGTTTTAACATCTCAATGACTTAGAAACAAAAATCAGGAAGATCATCTTTGTTGGATTATACAGTGGAAAGAAATACATATTAATATGTGTGAATTCATATTAACACCTGAATTAAACCACGCTCAGCGAAGCTGTAACGAAGTGCTCTTCGCTGAGTGAGTTTTTAGCTGCAGATGTCAGGCTCACTTTCCATTCGAGCTACGTGACTAATGTCGACAGTAAGCTAACGTTTTCGCTCGACATTGATGGACTCGTGGTGGAGCTCCAGCGTGCAACAGCGCTTGTAGCGCCATTCCATTACCTGCTGCTCCCACGTATTCAGGCCCACATGCTGCATCTTCCTGAAAAAGCATGTGGACCTCACACAGTGTACCCCAGTTGGCCTCAAAGTGTTGAGGAACAGCTGTGGGTACACTATAGCCCATGTTGATGGTGGATATCACCTATCCATCATTTTCACCCCGGTCTCCCTGTCAGACCCTGACACACGGCTCCTGAAGAAGAGCTTGTTTGACATTTACACTTGTGAAATGTTCAGCACAATTGTATATAATCTCCAGAAGCTTCTTCAGGCGGCAAAAGGCAGGGACAAAATTCGGCCCACCCTCCTCAAACAAATTTCGACCAACGCCAGTAAATATCACGTCCTCAGAAGGGACATGTTTTACATCCTTTCTGTCTTGGACAAGGCCATTGAAAACATGGAAGTCAGCCACCTCCTGAAGCCCGCTCTATCTGACGGCGTTCGGGCAGAAGGAGGAGGAGTCTCTGGATCTGACCGACATTGTTGTTCCTGAAAGTGTTGCCAGCCTGTCAGTCCACACGGCCTGTAACATCCACTCCACTGATCCTGACACTCACCTGTTCTCCAGGTTCGGGCTCCAGGAATTGGTAGGTCCTCGTGGATCTCTTTACTCCATCTTGGGGATCCACGAGGCCACCAATTTCCAAACGAACCTGGACCATCTGGAGATGAGCCTCAAGCCCGAGCTCCTGAACATTTTCAGCGCTGAGGGGAAGCTGAACTTCGTTCAACTGTACGTCAACTCTCCTCACGTGCATGTCCGCATGCCATACAGACATCCAGTCAGTGGTGCACTGGTGACATGCGGGCTGTCTCATCCGCAGTTCCAGCGTGCACTTGTCTCGCGTGCATGGCAGTATGTGGGTCATATGGAGGATCTTGCACGCAAGATAGACATGCAGCTGGGACTGCGGATAGAGCACATGAGGAGATTTGAAACTGGGGAGATACCAGCAGAAATTGAGCCTGTGGAGTCGTTTTATATAAATGCTCTTCACATGCTCTTTACTGACAACGCCCTGGTGGTCCCTTTCAAGGACACAGGGGTAGACAATGGGTTGTCATCAACCCTCCAAAGGGTGCTGTGCCAGTTTTGTAAGGAGCTGCACAGCATCCTGGAAGAAAACATAGGAGTAGCCAGATATGACCCGAGCTGGAGGTCATTTCAACTCAAGCTGGCGTTGGAGGAGCTGTTCTACGGACATCCTCTGGCCATGAGGACTTCCAGCTGAGTGTGAGCCTGGGGACCAACACAGTGAACCCCAAAAGCCTCACCCACACCCGAGGCTTCATCGGCTTGGCTCCACACACAGCTGGAAGTGCTGGCGATGTCCCGCCCCCCCTACACCACTGGACGTGAAATGACCTCCAGACTAAGAGGCTGGAACACATCTCTCCAGTCTGTCAGGCTCTGGATGCTATTCCAGCTCTCTTGGGGCTCGGGTCATTTCAGCTACTCCTATGTGATGTCTTCCGGAGGAATGATGACATCCCCATTGCTGCCCTGAAAGGGGAGAGACCACCAGGTCGTCTCACTGCGAGTATCGACCTAGAGCAGATTTGCGAGAATCTGAGTGTCAAGAACTGCTTCCCGGCACCGCTGACTTTCGGAAGGGCTCGTGAGCTCATGGTGGGACAGGATGTCAACGTGAAGAAGTGTTTGATGGAGGGCTTTGTAGCCGAAAAGCTGCGTTTCTTCCTGCACGTCAAGTTCCGTGATGTGCGGGGAGGACGCAAGCTATTTTGGAACTGTAAAGATTATGTGTTGCTGGAGTTGGAGGGCTACGACATGCAGCTCTCAAAGGTCACCACAGTGACGCTGCAAGTTTGTGCTGAGGTCGAGCGCTGTTCCCTCAGCTACTCCAGGAATCTCGACAAGTACCGTGACCATGGAATGGTCTGGCTGGACGCGGTACTTCGTCGGATTCCATCGAGAGTAAAAGGGAAGCTCCATCTCAACGTGGTGACCTTTGTGAGCTGCATAGCCATGATAATGAATGGCGACTACGTGGACTACACCCACCTCCGCTCACTTCTTGAAGACATCTCTCCGCATGTCACCCAAGAAATCCTTCAGAGTTGGCACATCCTCTCCCAGTTCAACTTACCCAAAGTGTTCAACTTCCTGGTCTGGAAGTTGAAGGAAGATATTCCGTTCCGGGTGCAAGTACCCGTAAAACCCAGGCCTATGGTAAAAGCACCAGAGGAGAGAGTGGAGGAACAGCCGTTCGAGGACGTGCAGGCAATCGAGGACCAGGACGAGATTCAACCCATGGAGAGATCTAAACCTCGGACATTACCTGCTGGTTCTTGGAAAGCATGGAGTGCTGAAGAGCTGGCAAACATAAATTTGGATAGAGCAGTTTCTTTGCTGGAGGCATACGAAATGTATGTAAGAAAGTGTCACGAGCAGGACATTCCTGTCAGAACCCGAAATGCATTCAAAGTCAAAAGATCCCGGCTTATCAACCTCGAGTAGGTTGTCATATTTTCTACATAAGTTTTGTTCAATAAGTGTTAGTGTGTTTACAGACTTGATAGATAGGGTTTCATTAGTGTGTTTTTTTGTATACATATACATATTAATATGTATTAAATACATATTAATAAATATTAATATGTATTTCTTTCCACTGTATAAAGTTGAAGCAATTGAAGCAATGGAAACATTTGGATGTTGATGTTTCTTTGTAAAAAACAAAAAAAAGAAAAAAAAAAAAAAAAAAGAAAATAATTGTGTTTTTTCTTCAATCCACATCAAAACATGACTTGTAAGTCGGCCAGAATGATTGAAAATATTCTTCTCTACCAATAAAACAACCTGAGTGTTTTTAAGAACTTCTCTACAAGTTATTGTCGTAAACATAATTCAATTATATTTTGCTTTAGGTATTGCCCTTCAGAATATTATATACTTAAAACTATTTTTGAAAGAAGAAACCTGTAGAAAGTTTGAATAACTTTCATGGTGATCATTTACAATGATGTCTCATATTTCCCTTGATACAAATAAAAGAAAAAAAAACAGTTAATCATTACTCAGTGATAATAAGTGGAATATTTAAGGCTTGAGTTGCCACACAACCCACAGACCTGACCCAGAGAGACTGAAAGTAAAGATGGAGATGACAAGATATTTTCCTGCATTGTTTCTGATCTGCTCTCTCTCCACGGCTCAGCTCCAAGCTGCAGACGATAATGAAATTATTTCACATTTAAGGCGAACAGAATCACAGGTAGCAGATGCAGGGAATCTCTCAGACAATCAACAAACTTGTGCACAGGACATCAATGCAGTGCTGAGAGAGATGAGCTCCTCATTGGCTGGACTGAAGGTTGGTATGGAGTACCTACAGAGAGATTATGAAGGTATGTTAACCAGAAGTCACTGCTTTATGAAACTGAAGGGTTTATATTCAAATAGTCATTTCAATGTTTTTATTTTTATTTTACTCCTGCAACAGCCAAGACAAAAGAACTGGACTTGCTAAAACAACAGTACCAAGGTATTTATAAGACAACAAATAAAACCCTGAAAAGCTGATTTATTTAAACAAAAAAGTTTAAAAGTTGTCTGACATCAGAGCTATCAGAAATCAATCTAATTATGGCTCCATACACAAACAAAATCTTCACAAGAAATATGTACACAAGATTTTTAAAAACAAATCATAAGCAGGTTTTAGAAATGCTTCTGCTGTTGAGGACTGTAATTACTGTGGGAATAAATGTTTTATTTTTATTATATTCCTTTACCTGGACAGCAGGATTGATGGGAGGAGAGTGAATGAGTGATGGAAGGGATGAAAACATTAATATAGATGAGACAATAGTGTTTTAATGAATCAATTATACTTCAAAACAACACCTTTTGGTGGTTCTTAACCATCAAATAACCAAACAGTATCAAAAACAAATACTACCCAGGCTTTCTCAACCACCTGGTTTTTAAATAGGGACTTTCCCATTCCTCATAAATGTTCATGTAGTCCCAAACTAAATTATGTGGAACAGTCCCGAACACATCGGAGTCCTTTAGTTTGAACACCAAAAACATAAAACAATTGACAGTCTTTAATGAGTGGGCCCACCAAAAATAAAACAAATTAAAGCCGGCAAAATAGTCTATAAACCCCCGTTGCAGGCCTGATACTGAAGACACTCACCCTTGGTCCTCAATCCACAGTGAAGGGTGTACATAGTTCCTGACGGCTCATCTCACCAGACAAACGTCGGTTAATCCGCGCCTTTTGGGTAGAGGCGGAGGAAACCGCAGCCAACTCCAACACAGCAGGCCCGACGCAGGTGTAGTGAGTCTGGACAGCTCCGATGAAGACCTCCGCATCCAGCTCACCGCTCGCTTCTTCCTCGATCCGTCAGCTGTCCCTGTGTGCTAGTCCACAGCCAAGTTGGGGCACTTTGTAGCCGGTATTCCACCGAAACGGCTCACAAAAGTTCCAGCTAACTCCACCGAGTACCCGCGTCGTCTCTCCCCTTTTCCTGTTCTGCTCTCCTCTCCCGCGGTACTCTCTTTAGTCCCGCCCCCCAGTCAATCAGAACTCAGGAAAAGTGCAATCACCCAATAGTAACTGACCTTAGGCAGAACTACAAAACACACAGCAATCTAGTGTGTCACACCTCGTGTTGAGCTGTACTTTACATACAAACTATACAATAATTGTTCGTTCTTCAAGTAACAGAACACAATATTTTTAATACTTTTTACTTCAACTGTTTTTTCTTTTTAATGAACTCTTGCTCATTTCAAACTCCTACTAAAAGACTTTGACATTATTATATCTTACTTTAAGATATTAAGTTTGTTATTTTTCAAAACAACAATATTTCTGGGAATCCAGGGGGTTACATAAAGATGAGACAATAGTGTTTTTAATGAACCAATTATTTTGCTGCCTTGGTATGTGATGTGTCAGAGTTTGGTTTTCTCTTTGCTTGTGGTAAAGTTGTATTATGTGACATTGAAAGGTGTTATGAGAAAACATTATTAAAATAATGTCACTATTCCTTTTCACACAGCTCAGTATCGTCAAGATTAGAAACTGCTGTGAATTTGTGATGTCAAACTATTACTGTGAAAAATGACAGAGGATATTAATTTTATTTGACATTTCATGTTTGTTATAATCAATTTTCAGCTCAGATAGGAGAACTGATGAGCGTTAAAGCCAGAACAAACAACACTGAGAACCAAGTGGAGGATCTGAAGAGAGAAAGAGAAGGTTTGGAAACTCAACAGTATTTACACAGAAACATTATCTTAACATGTCATGCAACAAAAATCAAGTTATATACTTTTGTTTGATGTTCATTAATTGTTTAACATGTTTAGTTATTTAAAAAAAATTAAGACAGTAGTTTGTTAGTTTTGATTTGTTTAATTTTACAAACACCAGATAGTTTTTTTTTTAGAACAAGTAACATGCTTGATACCAATAATACTGAATTTTTGTCTCGTAGTGAAACAAGTGGCTTTCTCAGCTTCCTTGCTGGCATCAGGTTCTGGATATATTGGACCATTTGACACACAAACACCTCTAGTCTTCAGACGTGTTGTTACAAATATTGGAAATGCCTACAACCCAAACACAGGTACCCAAGTTTATGCAGAACTTGATTCTCTTTATTATCTTGACATGCAGTTGGTTGATTGATCGATTCTTTATGTAGATATACGGATGGAAAAGTTCAATAGAAACATTATTTTTATATGTTCCTCAGGTTTTTTCATTGCCCCGGTGAGAGGAGTCTATCACTTTGAGTTCCACTTACATGGACATGGACTTCCATCACATGGGACAGGTGCCATTTTGGTCAAGAATGGAGACATTATTTTCAGTGCATATGAACATCAACCTTCCTACTCTGTTAACCCATCTAATGGTGCCACATTGCTGCTAGAAACTGGAGATGTTGTGTTTTTGCGTCTGTGGCAAACCACAAGGATTTTTGATGACCATTATCATCCTACCACCTTCAGTGGACACTTGGTTTTCACTGTATGAGCAGAAAGCAGTCCAAATGTTATTTCTGCCTCAGAAGTGCATCATAATGTATACATGTCTTTTTCACTGGATTCAATAATTTGTATTTTATTTCTTTTTGTGTTAAATTTCACAATAATTTACCAGCCACAATGGTTCTAGCAGTTCTCTTTCAATTGTTCTTTTCTGAATAGAATACACACATAATGCAATATTGAACTTTAATTTAGTTTTGTTGAAACATTTATTGGAATGTGCCAATAGTTTCAGATCAAAATTGTTCACTTTTTAATGCACTAAACCTGAAGGTGTTTTTTGCAGTATTTCTTAAAATTTGTTTTTCAAAAATAAAAACATATCTGTATTTTTTTTTGAGTGACCACAAAACTATAAAATCATTGAACCAGGAACAACTGTCTCTCCCCAGTGGTGATAAACAGAAAAAGATGAATGACTCCTCCAGCAACATAAATACAATTCAATCTGGAGAAGCTCACACAGAGAAAAGCTTCAATTAGAAAGATTTTATTTGGATCGAAGTTCTTTGGCTCTCGGTCCTGGCAGAAGACCTGCATGCTGAGGATCACCACGAGCTGGATGGTCGGCTCAGGGCAAAGGTCAGGGTAGTCTTCTCCCAGGTCTGGATACTGGTGTGGAGAGGAGTCTAGAGAGGAAGGAGCGCGGACGGAGCAGGGAAGTTGTCCGACTGGATGAAGGTGGAGACGGGGAGGAGGTGGGTTGAAGGGCGGCTGAAGAGCGGGTGAACCTGAGGTTGCTTGTGCTTTAGAGGGAACCCTTGCATGGTGATTGGCTGGACTGGAGTCGGGCTCCAGTGCTGGTTGGCTGCAGCGGGGGCGTGGTGATTGGATGATGGTGATAAACTGGGTCAAGTCTCCAAGCTTGAATTTATGCTTTAGCTTCTTTAGGAAAATAGTGAACGTCTTTTTCATGTTGGATTAATGTTCATTGAATCAGATTCAGGAAATTGCAATTTGGGCCTCAGTAATTAGTTAGTAAACACATTTTTGTATTTATTTAATAAAAGTTGACTTACCTCCGCAACTTTTCTTCATGTGTTGTTTTTTGAGGAAGGACAAAGAAAATACTTGGTTATCAGCAGTTTATCACATGTCAGATACTGCTATCTGGTAAGTGTTGGTTTATCAGTCTGAGACCAGATAACAGCTTATCATTTATATTACTCTTATTGAGGAAGCAAGGAGAAAAAATAGTCTTTATCACTCATCTATCTGCTCATGGCACGTTACTGGATTATAAGATGACCCAGTGATGTTAGAGGTGTTTTTTGTTGTTGTTATTAATCATACATTAAAACATGAACCTCTCAGAAATGTCAGAGATATAGGATTCTCTTATTAACCATTTTCATTAAAGCTGCATTTGAAATGAAAACAATGCGAGTTGGAAAACAGCTCACTTTTTAATTATTTATCTGGAACTATTTCAAAGAACTTGTTCTGATGTCAGCACTGGTTGACTATTTCCTGCACAAGTGTTTAATATGGACTTGTGCAGATAACTACATAACAAAGTCCATCTTGGTCAGCACTTGAAGCATTGTATTTTTTTAAGTCATTAATACCTAAACTCTCCGTGAACCGAGGAATCTAGATGATTTATACCAGTCTATACAACTGAAGTGTATAGATGTTCAAATGTAGTGTCTTGAAAATTTATTAAAACAATATTTAAAAATGTATTTATTCAGGAAGCCATTGCAGTAGCAAAAGGAGTAATAAGATTTGATCAATTTTCTAGTGTTGGTCAGGACTCCCGAAACAGCAATACACAGGAGCTGAGTTCTCTGATAGATTTTCCCTGTGATCAATTATTTGTATTGAAATATCTCATTTTAATATGACTAAGAAACAAAAATCAGGAAGATCACTTTTGCTGGAATCCACTGTGAATACAAATACATATTAATATTGGCATAATGGAGAATTGTAGCAATTCAAATATATGGATTTCAATGTTTCTTTGCAAATAAATTTTTTTTATCATATTCTTTCTTCGATCCAAAAATGAGAGAATTGGAGGAGTGAAAAAGTGTTGTACCAAAGATTTTCTTTGATTTTCACAAATTAAAGAAAATCTTAGAAAAATAAACTCTGGGTTTGTTAATGGTATCAAAATCTGATTTTTTGTGTCAATATTAGTTAATGTTAAACCAAAGGAAAAGATAACCATTGTACTATTTTCTGAAAAGAATATTTCTCTGAAGATGTTAAAGTGCTAATTGAGAGCTAATTCTCATGTTTTATTTGGGAGACTGTCGTTGCCGCTACACCCCCTCCCCTTCTTCCTTCACTCTCTATTGTCTCAGTCACTACTTCCTCTTCTGAGAGGGGAGATGTGCTACCAGCTCTCCATCTAACGGGTAAATTGAGTTTCCTAAATCTGCTGGGATTTACCTTATCCAGAACTGAAGTAAACTCTGTTTAAACTGGTTTCGAGACCGGATTCGCCTGACTACTAACGGCCTACATCCAGATGTCCCACCCTTCTTCCCCCTGTGAATTAGCCAGTCTGAGCAGCATACAGCCAACTAGTTCCACAGAGCACATCTGTTAACGGTCGCTCCTTCTTTTTTGCAACTTGCACTTGTTACTGAATCAGGTTAGTTTTAGTGACTCGGGCGAGTCCCAAGGATGTTGTTTTAAATTTGGGCTAAAGCAACCTATAAAACATTACCTACTTTTCTTCCCCAGAATCAAACATCACAGCTATTTTACTACCATCAAAGAACTTTGAGGTGACTCATTAATTGAATGTCCACAACGTCTTTTAGATTTCCTTTATGCTAAATATTTTATTAGTAAAGCAATTTTGCAAGGCTCAGTACAGCTTAATTAGGTAGAAGAAATAATCAAATAAGTAAAATCAATAATCTAGCCTATCTTTCCCTAACGCTGATACTAAGAACTAAATAGGGAACCTTTAGAGAGACGGACGGAGTTTGGTGTCTCGAACCCCAGAACTGGATCGATGATGAAGAAGGTGTTGCAGCAGGCGGAGGAGGTTGATTGATGAAGGCAGGGATCTCTGTTGGTCTGATGAGCTGTCATCTCTGCATCGATGATGAGGTCACACAGGACTTGGGTCTTTGTCTTTGCCTTGGTCTTCATCTTTGCCTTGATCTTCATCTTTGTCCTTGATCTTCATCTTTGTCTTTATCTTTGTCCTTGGGGTCTGAACCCAGCCGATGAGAGAAGTCCGATTTGAAGCCACATGTTGCGGGGCTGACGGATTGGTCCCATGCGCAGGACTTAGAAAAATAAACTCTGGGTTTGTTAATGGTATCAAAATCTGATTTTTTGTGTCAATATTTGAAAATATTGACCCTGTGACCCCGGCTCTGCTTCAGCTGCAGAGTTCTTTGTCCATCTCGGTCTTGACTCGAAGCTGCCTGGAGGATCCAACCAAAGATTCCTCTTTTGCTCTCCCCTTATATAGGGTTTATACCCACTTTCAGTGCATTTTCATTGGCTAACACTGTTGCTGTGCTTTATTGGGTAACTTGTTTAGACAGATAAACTCATATCCATCACTGTCTTAGAGACATTTTGTCCTGATGTCTTGGCTAATGTCTCAGGGCTGCTCAATGTTCCTCCCATGTCTCTGACACGTGTAAGTTGTTCAACAAGCTATCTCCTAATAAGGTCTTGGTCGTCTCTGCTTTCCTGTTAGTCCCCATTTTACCCCTAACCTCTCACCTACTATCTACCTCCAACACATCATCAGTGATCTTTAATAGCAGTTACATGTTTTACACCATTTCAAGTTCAATGTTAGAATCACATTCATAAACCTTTTAGTTTCTTTAATTTAGCATTCATTTATAAGTTTATGATAATCACAACTTATTACTCTTTTATTATTTGATACCAAAGTTACAGTTACTTGTTTTACTTGTACGTTTTTCCACAAGTGTCAGTAAGTATTGTTATAAGTAAACCACTATTAATATAAGTACTTTACTTTAAATCTTATCTAATTACTCACAATGTTTAGATTTTATCCTTTGAAACTTTTATGCTTTTAAACAAGGACTGGTCTCAGCTATTTTTATACAGCTGCAAGCTGGAAACTTACTTCCTCTTTTTTCAGAAAACCTGCTCTTCCTGTCTCATCTCTCTCTCTGACTATGATTTCTTATGATTAGATATAAAAAACAAGCATAATGAAAGCTAAGTTTGCAGGAGACAAAAACAACACACACAACCAGGTTTATTTTATTGCAGTCTGGGTCTACTGTTGGATCTAGATGTGATTGGTGTGACTTATTTTATAGGTAACTTTATTTGTTTTTACTGTTAACTAAAATCTCCAGCATGGGGAAGTGGGATGATCTCGGATTTTTCTTGACACCCCCTCTTCGAGGTCAGACCTTTCCCATGCTGGGGGTCCAACACCCTCCTGCAGCTCTGCGTCCTCATTCCCTGGAGAGAAGAAGAGGTTCATCTGGGATGCTGGGATGTGAAGATGGAGATTCTTCATCCTCAGTTGTCCTGAAGGTCTCAGTAAAGTCATCAAAACTCCACTTCTCTAGACAAGACAAAAATAAAGACTCAATAATGACAAGGGAGAAGATTTTTGCTCCATTTACTCATTTAAGGATTGACGTGTAAGAAAACATTAACAAGGACAATAAGCCACAGAAGCCAAGAGGTTAAACTGTATCATCAGTGTTTTGTGTATCTTCAAAATTGTAAAGCTCTTTATAATATCCTAATATTTGCTCTACATCACATTCATACCAATAAAACAAGTTTTAAAAAAATATCTGAGTTAAGTTATTGCCATACACTTGACTTAATTAAGTTTCCCTTCAGATATTGTCCTCCAGAATATTATTTCCTTGAAACTGTTTTTGTAAAAAGAAACATAGAAAGTTTGGATAACTCTCATAGTGATCGCCTACAACGACGTCACATGTTTTCGATCAAAGAGTAACCAGTATGAAATATTTTCAAGTTTTATTACCTGCACGTTTTACTAAAAAAACGAAAACAAAAAACAGTTAATCATTACTCAGTGATAATAAGTGGAATATTTAAGGACTGAGTTGCCACACAACCCACAGACCTGACCCAGAGAGACTGAAAGTAAAGATGGAGATGACAAGATTTTTTCCTGCATTGCTTCTGATCTGCTCTCTCTTCACAGCTCAACTCCAAGCTGCATATGACAATGAAATTATTTCACATTTAAGACAAACAGAATCACAGGCAGCAGATGCAGGAAATCTCTCTGACAACCAACAAACCTTTACAAAGGACATCCATGCAGTGCTGAGAGATGAGCTCCTCATTGGCTGGACTGAAGGTGGAGATGAGGTACCTACAGAGAGATTATGAAGGTAACACAAATACAGCATT